CCTTGGAGGTTCATGCAGACTTCACAAGCAGGAAGCTGATATGCTCATGTCTTGACAAACATTAGAAATGACTTTGGACTCTTATATTCATTCCACTGAGATACTCTTCTGGATTTGCAGCTTACCATGGCACCTGAACTCATCACGATAACCCTTATTTGTTTAGTGGAAAACCAGAAAGAGCAGCTGATAGTGAATCTGAAACAGTAAAGATTATTTACAAGATATCTCAGCCTGTGGTGATGGTGATTATTGCAGGGCTACAATGCATAGGGAAATCCTACATGATGAATCATCTTGCAAGACAGAACTACGGTGAGTATGGTCTTGACCCAGAGACCATTAGTTTGGAATCATAATAATGCGCCTGATTACACCAACTCTATGGTCATCATAAGAAAGAGACAAACTCTTCCCTATAAAAAAATTTCGAATTCCTACAACTAGATTTACACCTGGGGCTGCCTGTCTTATCTGCTGTCACTGTTTTGTTGCTTTGTCCTCTTCCTTAGCAGGCTTCTGTGTGGGTTCTGCTATGAGGTCTGAAACCCAGGGTTCTGGATGTGGGGCTCTCTTCAAGCAGAACAACACTGGGGGTCTGGGTTATGCAGGACGGTTAAGGCAGAGTCATAAAGATCTTTAGTCTTTGATTCTCAACATTTAATTAACTACCTTGATTCAACTTATCTGATGTATTTCTGCAAAAACGAAAATATGGATCATGAAGAATGAGTTTAAGTTCTGTCTCCCTGAACTTTTCTCCTTGGTATGATCAAATACTTTGGAATATTAAAGGTAAGATCTTATTCTAACATTGGGGTGAACAATAGAATTGATAAATACTTATGGGCAGCTGAATTTCAAGGCTTTGTGCTAAGTACTACAGAAGGGCAGTAAACAAGGTAAAAGCCTAAAGCCTAGTTAGGGAGACCGCACATACACAATGTGATCAGTGCAGGGTGCCACAGATGCACAGAAGTAGGGATCTAGCTCAGCTGTACAGACCAAATAAACTTCTTGGAGGAAATAACATCTAGACCATAACTAGGGGAATCACTGGTAGCTATCAGTTAAAGGACATGGGAATGACTGATTTGGAAACATCAGCGTTGGAAATAGGGTTTCAGTAAAGTTATCCTTTAAATAACCTCCATAAAAGCTTCAGCTACATCAGGAACATCATAAAGGTCTTACTCCAAGTCTAAGGGCTTTGGAAATTAACTCTTCACTGACTTCTCTACATGAACTTAGCCTATGTAAAATAGTGTGAGATAATTTTAGATATTCTGTCTTCATAGTATTAAGGGCAATCTATGATTTTTCCTAATTTTACATTACTCTGAGTCTAAATCAAAATTAGCAAGAGATCTTTGACATCTATTGCAAACGAAAGAAGGAAAAAGAGGAAGAGAGAAAGGGAAAGACAGAAAAAAGAGAAAAGTGTTTTTCAGAAAAAAAAAACTTATGTTTAAGCCTATCTGTGTGGATAAGCAAATAATGCAGCCATGTAGTGCCATAGCCTCAGAAACATCAATACTTGATTTGAAATTATTGTACTGAATTTCTTGATGATTTTTAAAAATGATGAGCCTCACATTTTCATTTGAATGTTTTAGTTCACCTTTCTAGTATACTCTTTTATTTAATTTCAATGAAAACATGGTGTTCCTGGGCACTACTGAGTATATTGGCTTTGATCAGTAATTAAATAGTAATTTGAAGTGTTACAGAATCATTTTTAAAAGTGTGAACTGCCCCTTGTGGTTAGAACTCAGAGAAGTCGTTAAGTCCCCATCCTCCAAAACTTGATACCAGGTTTTTCAGTTACATGACACTAAAAAAGGCCTGGATTAAATCGTGTCAAGCATGTAGTAGCAAGTAGCTGCAAATAGTCATATAATGTGTTTTTAGCCTGTGGAGGCTGCTCCTTTAAAGCCAGAGTTCATTCCAAGTTGAATGTGGTGAGGCTCTATGGTCTTGAAGTTAGAACAAGTGGCGAAATTCTCTGTGGAGGGTGAAAGGCAGGGTTATTCAACTGGAACATTGCACAGATGGCATAGGCCTGGAGGCTTGTCTGATTTTACGTATTCTTACTGTGGTCTGAATGTTTGCACCTCCCCACCATCCCAAAGTATATGTTGACACCTAATCACCAATGTAGTAGTATTAGAAAGTGGGTCATTTAGGAGGTAAAAATAAACTTAGGTCATGAGAATGGAACTGGTGATACTAGTGCCCTTATAAAAGAGGTTCCAGGCGGCCGGGCGCGGTGGCTCAAGCCTGTAATCCCAGCACTTTGGGAGGCCGAGGCGGGTGGATCACGAGGTCGAGAGATCGAGACCATCCTGGTCAACATGGTGAAACCCCGTCTCTACTAAAAATACAAAAAATTAGCTGGGCATGGTGGCGCGTGCCTGTAATCCCAGCTACTCAGGAGGCTGAGGCAGGAGAATCGCCTGAACCCAGGAGGCGGAGGTTGCGGTGAGCCGAGATCGCGCCATTGCACTCCAGCCTGGGTAACAAGAGCGAAACTCCGTCTCAAAAAAAAAAAAAAAAAAAAAAAAAAAAAGAGGTTCCAGAAAGATGCCTTGCCCTTCACTGTGTGAGTACACATCAAAAGGCCACCAACTATGAACCAGAAATCATACCCTTATCAGACGCCCAGTCTGCCCATGCTTGTGTTTCTCAGCCTCCAGAAATGTGAGAAGTAAATTTCTGTAGTGTATAACTTATCCAGTTTGTTGTATGTTTTTGTAGAAGACCAAAGACACTTCTTCATGCTTTTCTAACCAATCACCTCTGTTAAACAACATTGATGTTATTACTTTTACCATCCTTTATACCGGTTGACAAGAATTTGGTGTTGACACAGAATAGAGTACCTCTTCTTAAGGAGATCATTCCAGATTAGGCCATTCATATGCTTATCACTATCTTCAGAATGTATATTGAAGTCAATTTGTGTACACACACACACACACACACACACACGACATTGACTATTCTGAACTGTATTGAAGTAAGTACACAAAGATAACATAATCACTTGCCCTGTATGACCAACTAATGTCATAACTTCCTGTCTCCTTGACTGAATCACTGGGATTAAAAGCATCTGCAACTCTATTATTTCCTCCAGTTTCCTTCCAAAATCAATGAGCCAGTAAAACACCCTCATTTCAAAAAACTTTTATTTGATATGTCTTGTAAATGAGTTAAAAGTTAAAACCACAAAATACAAAAACATATAGACATTGCACTTTACTTTTTCAAAAAATGTATAAATAAGAAGCTCAAAATCTGATATGGAAAATATTCAAAAAATCTTCAACTAAGATTCTTTTTATCAAAATAAAAGTTATTTCCTTCTTAACAGTATGTGTGTGCATATCTGTTATTATAAAAAAAGTCTTTGAAAATTCATATAATTCAGAAAGACATTTTTTAAAACTACCTGAGCTAGAATTCCTAATTTTAGGGAGGTAGTGGTTGGTGAATACTTCCAGACTTTTATCTGTGTAACATAGACATATTGCTATGTACATTTTCTATGTGCATGGACATATTGCTATGTGCAATCATTGCTATGTACACTTGTGAAGTAATAACTTTTTTTTGGTGGGGGGACAGTGTCTCACTCTGTTGCCCAGGTTGGAGTGCAGTGGCATCACCAGGGCTCATTGCAGCCTTGATCTCCTGGGCTCAGACTCCCATCTCAGACTCCCGGCTAACTAGGACTATTGTAACAGGCACATGCCTTCACACCCAGCTAATTTATTATTATTACTAATTGTAGAGACGTGGTTTCCCCATGTTTCCCGGGCTGGTTTCCAATTCCTGGACTCAAATGATCTGCCCGCCTTGACCTCTCAAAATGCTTGGATTGCAGGAGTGAGCTACCACACCCAGCCTAAATTTCTTCTTGATTAACATTTCCATAATTATCTGAAGTTAGTAACGTTGGATTATCTGGAAAGCGGTGCCACCGGTGAAATTCAGGGGTTTCAAACACATTTACCAGGATTCAATCATCCCTGTACTTTTTCTTTTCTTTTTTTTTTTAAGAGGCTTCCTAATATTAAAAAATAATTATAATAAATGGTCAGAGAAAAAAATCAGCTGATTTCGTATTACTGGTCCTATTTAAAACTAGATTTAGCTTTATTTTCACTTTCAATATTGCTTATAGGAAATAAATTTCAAATTTTGAATCAAAATCATCACCAGTAATTTTACCTGATTAAGTACCTAAAATTTTGGACTTAATAATTTGCAAATGTTTAATCAGATGGTATTAAACAAATAGGAAGATCTACGGGATAGGCACAAGTGGGGAATCATTATCCATTTATTCCAGATAGAAGATTTCCCAAATTCTGTTGACAAACTGCCTAGTCATTTCAGGAACCGAGTCCATTTTTCTACTAGCCTGGGTAAGACTCTTAATTATAAATTATGCTTTGTATGGTCCAATCATCCTGCTGTCCTTCACAAAAAGTCCAGTTTTGATTAAATGTTTGTGATTTGAAAGAGAAGTATTAGCTTGCCACCACTGCATCCGGGCAATAATATTAGGCGATACACAAATATCCATAGACACACACACACACACACACGCACTCATTTTATGGTTAACAAAAAAATAACTTTAAAAAGGGATGAGAAACAAAACCAGATGAGCATGTTAAAAAAAAAAATTAAAAGCAAACAAATAGTCAAACTTCTTCCCTGAGAAAATTATCCCTGAAAGACAGGGAGTAGATGAAACAGCATTCATGTCTGCCACTCTATATTCATTTTGGAGGCGAAAGGTACCCAAGCCAAGGGTGGAAGAGGGTCAAACCTGGGTTTTAGGAGCCTGGTATGGAGGTACCAGCACTTTCAAGCTCCTTTCATGTCTCGACAAAACAAGTAATAACTCAACGGATTAACTCCCCGCCAAACTCAAGTGCTTTCGATTTCGGTTCTCCTAAACCCTTATTTGGATGTCTGTAATCCCGGATATATATACTTTCGGCTTATAAAAACAGTCCGTTTCCCGAGGAGCCAGACGCAGGAGGACAGAGCAATGGACGAGCAAGGGCAACTCCACATTGCAGCGTCCGCGCCGCGTAAGTTCGCTCCTAAGCTTTACCTTCCAAGTATATTGGGTTAAAGAACAACCAACAACGAATTCCCAAGCGCAGACTCCACACGGGGAGGGTAGAGACTTCACACTGGCGGGCGACGAAGGCAGCGGGGGGACCTCTGGGGAAATCGGTTGCTGCTTGAACCCCTGAGTGCTTTGCTCGGGGTGGCGGGGTGGGGGGTGCTCAGCGTCTCCACGTGGTCCTCAGGCGTCTCCAGGATGCGCTGCTCCTCCTCGGGCTTCCTCCCAGAGCTGCGGCGAAGATCCCTGCTTGGGTCACGGAGGAATGGGGCATGAAGTCTTTGCTCCCCAAATCATGGGGTCGCTTCCTCCCTCTTCCGTTCTCCGGTGTTTCCCGGCTGCCCCCTGCGGGGACACTGGGGAAACACAAGATCCTTGCCACTGTCTATTTAAATCCTTAATAGTTAGGACTCTATTTTTGTATCAGCCACATTTAGCATTCCAGCGATGCTACAGAGCTGCATTGTGTGGAATTTCAGACTCACTCTCACTCATCAACTGTTTAAAATAAGTTTAAGGTTTAATCATGTTTGATTATTATGCTGTTTTTAACACGTAGCTCGTGCAAGAAGTACATCAGAATAACATGAGGTACTGCTTGAAACAGGGTCCCAGGCATTTTTAATCATCACTCCAGATAACTGTCCTGTATTTTGAGAGAGAGCTACATTCTTTATCTCTTGTTCCTTCTTTCATGATTGTTCCCCTATCCAATTTTACCAATTCACTAAATCTATCTTCATCAATATCTATCAATGATCAGTTTCATTGTGTCTTTTCGCAGGCCTTCCCCGGCTACCCTTAATATACATTCAAATCCCAAAACACCATATCCCTATTCCCTGCTCATTTTCTCCCGAGAAATACCATCATCTGGTATACATATACACATTTTTTTTGCTTGTTTGTTTTATTAATTTTCTGTCCCCCACTTCAATAGAGCTCAAAGAGGCAGGATGTTGTATCAATTGTTCCTTGCTTGATACTGAGAACTTAAAATGGTGTTTATTAGCACATGGTAGGTACTCAATACTATTTATTAAATTAATGAGAGAGCAAATTCTTGTGGAATGCCTGGAACCCTTTCTAACCACTCATCTCCTTTATGTAGCATCCTGCCCCTACTTATTCCAAGAGTTTACTTTTTACTTGGGGCTCTGTCATCAGTGCCTTGATTTTCCTATTCTATTTTACGCATCACCTTGACAGGACATTTTTAGCATTCTTGTAAGAATCATAATGTACATAAAGCATCTGTACTAGTCCTTGACATGCTAAACTAAATATTTTTCCATTAGAAACATACAAAATGTAGAAATTTGATATACCATCCCACAAGCAGAAAACTGATCTGTATGTGCCTTGGGTAGCCCTTACAGATGACTTCAAGATCTTGTATTTTACTGTTTTTTTTTGGGCTACAGGTTACCCAGAATCTGAATCCATCATGATGGCCCCCATTTGTCTAGTAGAAAACCAGAATGAGCAGCTGACAGTAAATTCAGAGGCATTACAGATTCTTGACAAGATTTCTCAGCCCGTGGTGGTGGTGGCCATCGTAGGGATGTACCGTACAGGAAAATCCTATCTCATGAATCGTCTTGCAGGAAAGAACCATGGTGAGTGTGGCCCTGGGACAGGAGCCATTTACTTGGAACCAGTGATAACATAGCTGATCACCTCCTCTAGGGTCATTCTAAAGAAGAGCATGACTTCTCTCAGTGAAGAAAACTTCTAATTCTCTCACCAGTAAATTTACAATCTCAACCATATGTGTGTGTGTGTGTGTGTGTGTGTGTGTGTGTGTGTGTGTGTATATATATATATATATATATATATATATATATATATATATCTCACTCTTTTGCTCAATAGTAAAGAACCATCTCAACCGTATCAAAAGATCTATTCTATGGGTCTTCTTGATCCCATCTATGCTCACCTCTTCGGGGGCTCAGCTCCAGCAATTATTCCCTTTCTTTCTTATTCATCACTTTTGTGTAGAGTACCTGGTCACTTTAAATAGCACACAAACATAGTTTAATAGACCTTGTTTTAAAAATAAATAAGAAGGACAGGCAGTATAATTCTTGCGTATCCTCTATTTAAATTGGGCTACCATCCAATTTCTTGCTTCATTTTGTAGCAAAACTTTGATAAATTATACTCCCTTCTATTTAGTCTTTCTAATATGTGAACTATGACACATAGAGAAAAGTATGTACAGCATACTTGTACAGTGAATTTAATAAAGTTAATACATGGGTAATCACTATTCAGATCAAGAAATAAAATATTCCTAAACATCCAAAAATCATACACTGTTATACCTTCTCTGGAGCTCACCAATATTTTTGTTTTCAGGGCACATTTATTTGACTCTTGGTTTTTAAAAATGTTTTTGCGTAATATGTATACATTCTGAAAAATAGTTTAGTTTGGTCTGCTTTTAAACTTTACAAAAAGGAATTTATATTGTGTGTATTCTTGGATGTCTTGTTCCTTTGCTCAATAAGAAGTACATAAGGTTTCTCCAGTGTACCCATTTTTATACCCTCAGACAGTATGACACTACCTAAGGACAATATATTTGTTTGTTGTTGAACATTGATATTTTTCCAGTTTTTATCTTTAAGACTGTCAGTAATACTCTATTATTTATATCCATTAATACTCTGTTACTTATGTTTATATACTGTTGAACATTGGCATTTTTCCAGTTTTTATCTTTAATGAATAAGGTTGTCCTTAATACTCTATTATTTATTTCCTCTATTGTTAATAATAATATATAATATATAGTATATATATTATTCTCTATTATTATATTATATATTATATATTATATATTAATAATATAAAATATATAGTATATATTATCTTTATTATTAATAATAGAGGATATAAAAATAGAGTTTTGATAACCTTATCATTGTCATTAATGATATTGATAGAATATTAATGAATATTAATTGTCATTAATGAATATATAAATAAGAGTATTATCAATACTCTATTATTTATATATTTATAAATTTATATTTATATATTAAAACTTCCCTTGTGTAATATGCTCAGAAGTGGAATTTCTGAATCAGAGAGTAGGTAAAATTTCTAGATAAAGTCAAATAGCTTTTCAAAAAAAAATTTTTTTTGGAGACAGAGTCTCACTGTGCCTGGCCAGGTTTTCAAAATTTAAATGCAATTTAGATGTTTATTGGCAGTGATTGAGAATTTTACATCCTGCAAGAAATTCAATAACATAAAGCCTTTTAACTTGTACTGACATGTTGAATGTATTGTTACATGTTGTTTATTTCGCATGTTATTTATTTCACTGTGAGTAAGTTTAAGCACCTTTTCACATATTCGTTGCAATTTTCATTTCTAATTTTTTGAAGGCTTTTAAAAAATTTTTTTGATACCAGATTTCTGTTTTGGTTCTTATTGACTTTTAACACAATCTGCCTATGATTCTGTTTTTAAAGACCAAGCAGCCATTTCTTCTCCCTAAAGACCTACTTCCTCTTTGGCTCAGCAGCTCAGCACCATTAGGTACTGAACCTCTGTCTACTAAACAAGTTTAAGAAAGAAAACAAGTTTGAGAAAATTCTTAATACATGTAAAGATTGGATTAGTTGTCCTGGCTGAGATGAAAACAGCCCTTTTCCCCTGCCAGCCACATAAACATTCCTACAAGTTTAACTAATGTAAGCTTGGGACATCCTGGTCTATCCACTGTTACTGTTTCTTATTTTTCCCCTTCCCTGCAGGCTTCCCTCTGGGCTCCACCGTGCAGTCTGAAACCAAGGGCATCTGGATGTGGTGTGTGCCCCACCCTTCCAAACCAAACCACACCCTGGTCCTTCTGGACACTGAGGGCCTGGGCGATGTAGAAAAGGTAAGGCAGAGAATCTTCACTGCTCATGGTTGTCCTCTCATCTTTTAATTTTTCAGCTCCATTCAACTTCTGTACATATTTCTGTAAACTCGAATCTAATTATGAATAATGAAGCTAAATTCTGTTTTCTAAAACTTCCTTATTAATTTCGAATACTGAGGCATATATAAGAATAGATCTTATTTAACACTGGGTTGAATGATATAATTTAAGAAATATGTATTGAAGAGATGAATTCTAGGGCTCTGTACTGAGTTCTAGAGACATGACAGTAAACAAGGTAAGGGCTAAGAGCCTAGTTGTGAAGACGAGAAATATGAGGTGTCATCAGTACAGAGTTTCAGATGCAAAAAGTGAGAAACTAGTTCAGTCATTCAACTAAGAGAAAGCTTTTTGGAGAAAGCTATAACCCATGGGACTGATGGGACCTACTATTTAAGACATGTGGGGTTGGAGGAGGGGACCATGTAAAAATAGGGTTTTACTGAAGGAGTCTATTTCAGTAATTTTCAGAAAAGCATTAATTTTATCATTAACATTTTGGTCCAACTCCCTGAACTTTGGAGATGAATTCTGCACGAACTTCTCTAATAGTTTGAATTAGACCCACAAAGAATATTGTAAGTGAGATAATTTTAGTTATTTTGTCTTAAAGTGTTAGGTGCAGTCTGTCAATTCTCCTTATTTGAATTAGTCTCAGTCTGAATTGAAAGTAGCAGCAGTAGATCTTTGGCTTCCATTATTTAAAAAAAGCATGGAAGTCAGGGGAAGGAAGCACAGACTTAGCAATATGAACTTTAAATTTCAATATTAAAAGTCTGAATTATTCTCTTAGTATAATACCAAAGTGAAACATTTATTCTTAATATACTGTAGTCTTCATAAACTTCTTTTCATCTAATTGCATTTTTCAAGAGATCAGAACATATCAAAATGTAAACTGATGGCAGCAGCAGAACTACTCGCTGACCTTAGAACTTGTGATGTGATTTGGGTACCATCGAACTGGTGGGAGTGTAAACCAGTTCAACCTTTGTGGAAGACGGTGTGGCGATTCCTTAAGGACCTAGAAATAGAAATACCATTTGACCCAACAATCCCATTACTGGGTATACAGCCAAAAGATTATAAATCGTTCTATTATAAAAACACATACACACGTATCTTTATTGTGGCACTGTTCACAATAGCAAAGACTTGGAACCAACCCAAATGCCCATCAATGATAGACTGGATAAAGAAAATGTGGCATATATACACCATGAAATACTATGCAGCCATAAAAAAGGACGAGTTCATGTCCTTTGCAAGGACATGATCATTCTCAGCAAACTGACACAAGAACAGAAAACCAAACACCACATGTTTGAGAACACATGGACACAGGGATGTGAACATCATATACTGGGGTCTGTTGGGGGGTGGGGAGCTAGGGGAGGAACAGCAGGGGGTGGGGATATAGGGGAGGGATAACATTAGGAGAAATACCTAATCTAGATGAGGGGGTGATGGGTTCAGCAAATCACCATGGCACCTGTATACCTATGCAACAAACTTGCACATTCTGCACATGTACCCCAGAACTTAAAAGTGTAATACAAAAAAGAAGTTCACACACACACACAAAACCCTTTCAGGTCTTACCACGAATCTTGTTTCCAGCCTTCTCTTCCACTCCAGCATGTATACTTACTGCTTTAAGCAAGAGAAATAACCATGTAATACCTTTTTATAACCATTCTCTGACAATTCTGACTTGGCTTCTATTGATCTTTCCATCTGCGTTATTCCTTCTTCTTCACAAGTCCACACTCTATCAACTCTTGAAGTGCAGCTATTTCCAAACTGCTGCAAGCATGTGCCTGTCACACATAATCACTTCTTGCTCCTGAATCCACAGAGTAACTATTCACATTTATGTGCCTCCTCCTCCTTTCTTTCTTCTTCTTTTTTTTTAATTGCGTTTTAGGTTTTGGGGTACATGTGAAGAACATGCAAGATTGTTGCATAGGTACACACATGGCAGTGTGGTTTGCTGCCTTCCGTCCCCTCATCTGTATCTGTCATTTCTCCCCTTTTCTTATACTTTATAAGTTTGGGGTTTACTCCCCCAGCAGCAATTATTATTCTGATTGAATTTGTATATTGACACGTTTATCTGTTGCTCCAGAAAGTCATCTTCTTGAGGGCAGGGACTGTCATGAACTTTATATCCACAAAACCAAATGCAGGGTCTGCATTTTGTCAGAAGCACGATGAATAGTTTTTTAACTTAACTGAATAGCATTTGAGACCTTACTATGCCACGAGTGAGAACAAAATTGCAATGGAATAATTGCATGCTGATTACTTGACACCTATTATATTCTAGGCACTTTATTGAATATTTTAATCACAATGTAATTCATTTCTGTTAGTAGCTAAATGAACTTACAGCCTGAGAAGGATTAATGTAAAATCTAAATATGAAGTTTGAATTTAACATTGCCTTCAAAATTTATTTATCCTAGTTTTCAACTATCATACAGCTGAAATAGCTAATGAACAACCAAATGAATGAATGGATGAACGATGAAGAGAATACTCCAAGTCCTTTGCTCTATATTCTTTCTAGGGTAATCCTAAGAATGACTCGTGGATCTTTGCCCTGGCTGTGCTTCTAAGCAGCTGCTTTGTCTACAACAGCATGAGCACCATCAACCACCAGGCTCTGGAGCAGCTGCAGTATCCTTCCGGGAAGTGAAGAGCCAGGTTTCATGGAGTGTAGGGTAATGGAAACTGATACTTTGTCTTCTTTGCTGTGACCCAGTTGTCCTGGTTGAGTAAGAAGAGAAACAGTGCAAAAGGGAATGCTTATAAAACTTGTTTCTAAGTGAGATGTTGAAATAATGGTGTAGGGTACTACTCCTTAGCTAAGATCCCAGCTACGTGACTGAACTAACAGAGCTAATCAGGGCAAAATCCTGTCCCAGGACTGATGAAGTTGAGGACTCCAGCGAGTTTGTGAGTTTCTTTCCAGACTTTATTTGGACTGTTCGAGATTTTACCCTGGAGCTGAAGTTAGATGGACACCCCATCACAGAAGATGAGTACCTGGAGAATGCCTTGAAGCTGATTCCAGGTATCAGAGCACGGCCTGGATGGGGGAAGGTTCAGCAGTGGGTGGGATCAACTAAGACCTGCCATTCAGCACCTGACACAAATGTTTATATTAGACTAGATTGAGGCCCATGCTCATGGTGGTTGGTGACTGACAAGTGATTATGATTCTTGTGGTTATTTTTACTTGAAATTTCCCAGAGGCTGAAGTTTCAATTCATTGAAGAAGTTTAAAGCTCAAAATTCTATCAAACAATTTTAGACCAATAAGTACCATGAAAAATATATTGAGGATTACAATTAATATTATCACATCCTAAGACTTATGTATTACTTATTCACTTCAAGTGTTCCTTCTATTCTATTTGGAGAAAATTAATAAATCGGAATTTGGTAAACACAGAATCACAAGAGGTCAAATGATCTAATTTTGGAAATACATTTCACGCTGTCTGTTTTATTAGCCTGGGTAGTTATATCCTTTAGAGAAAAAGGAGATTTATACAGTAAATGATTCCAAAAATTTAAAAAATACACTGACATATGCTTCCAGTAAGACTGTCAAATCCTTCATTTCACTGTTTTCATAACATCACCTACTTCATTCTACAGCCTCATACAATATATTGTCAATCTATTATAAATTTGTTAAACAGATGGTATTTAGCAGAGTGAACGCCAGTTGGCACCTACAATCAATATCCATCTTCGTTCACTTATTCATCCTTTCAACAAAAGTTTATTTTGAATAATCTATATATGCCCCAGAATCCCTCTGCAAGACAATGTCAGACCTAATATAATCTGACATTGAAAAGTGGCAAGGTCTCCAAGTTACATCTGGATTAACTTCAGATTTTTCAGATAAAGAAGTGTCTAAACATATCTATGGTGTTTATAATTTGGGGTTCTGCTTTTGAACTATTTTTTACTTTTATTACTGTCTTGGTGATCATTCACCTTCTTCATGATATTTTTCTTAGCAACACCTTATCCTTATTTCTTCAATTTAGGGCCCATGTTTTACTTCTGACATGGGAATATAATATCAATAAAATATTTCTGACAAATTTTTTATTTAGTTAATCATTCAAAAACATTTAATGAATAGTCTACCAGCTACCATACAAAGGCCAAGGAAACCAGTCATAAATGTCTTCATCTTGTGATAGATGTCTTCCCTTCCTCTCCAGTTCTTTCCTGACTCTCGGTCCTGTACAAAAATGGATTTTCCATGCCTTGGTTGGATTAGCACAAGGCTGTTTTGTATGATTGCATACTACAAAATTTACAAGGCAGAGGAGCTGCAGGGATGCAAAGATCCCTGGAAAAGTCCTAAGCTCCCTTGACTGCAGGCTGTCTCTTCAATGAGCATTCTTTTTCATAATTCCACAGGCAAGAATCCCGTGCTTCAAAAGTCTAACATGCCTAGAGAGTGTATCAGGCATTTCTTTCCAAAACGGAAGTGCTTTGTCTTTGACCGGCCTACAAATGACAAACAATATTTAATTCATATGGACGAACTGCCAGAAGAAAATCTAGAAAAGCTTTTCCTGAGGCAATCAGAAAACTTCTGTTCTTATGTCTTCACCGATGCAAAGCCCAAGACCCTGAGAGAGGGAATCATTGTCACTGGAAACCGTGAGTCTTCTTTGTTGCAAAGCATCTCTGTGGTCCAGGGTGTGTTGAAACTGTTGTGACTCTGCAAGTTTGTCAATAATATTGTTTACTTCTGTATAGGAATGCAGGCAGACCATGCCACACATAGAAATAAATGTTTCTTAATTAAAGTTTACTCAAATGAGAATTTCTTGAGGCCAAATATATCTCACAAAATTAATACACTAATGGCTAAACACAAACTTCTGAGGAGAGAAATCTACATGATGAGGAGAAGTCCTATAGGGTTAGTGTTTCTCAGTGAGGATATATAATATATTTTATAAATTTACATAGTCAAGAAATCAACATCAGGCCATGAGTTCCATGCAAGCTCATTGAGAGTTAGAGAAATAAATTTAAATGTTATATTAAGTATGGGGCTGGCTTCATGGCATGAAACCTGTGGAGTCATCCATTCCTCATGGTGAGATGGGTCCATGCTTGTTTCAATAGTCTATGTTGCTGTCTCCAAATAAAAATGCAAGTTCCCTTGCAAAGAATATCTGATGAAATGAGGGGACTTGCATTTTTATTTGGAAGTAGGACTCACAAATTATATAACTTAGTTTTCCTGCATAACAAACTCATTTATATGGCATTCAAATGGAAATGTACTTTTCCATAAAACACGAAGACATGTTGGTTGCAGTGAGTTATTTAATGTTGTAATGTGATATAAAACAGAAAATAGGAAAAATAGGGATATTATTATAAATTCCTCAAGGAACTCATAAAGATGAAAAAGGAGAGAAAGTATAAAGAATAAAGAAGAGGAGGAGGGAAGAAACGTCAAGATGATTAGAATTTTTGTAATTTTTATAATGCTTATACCTAAAACTTGTATAAATAATGAGTGAGAACTATAAATTTTCCTCAAATATATGTGATTCAGGTCTGGGGACTCTGGCAGTGACTTATGTAGATGCCATCAACAGTGGAGCAGTGCCTTGTCTGGAGAATGCAGTGACAACTCTGGCCCAGCGTGAGAACTCAGCAGCTGTGCAGAGGGCAGCCGACCACTACAGCCAGCAGATGGCCCAGCGAGTGAGGTTCCCCACAGACACGCTCCAGGAGCTGCTGGATGTGCACATGGCCTGTGAGAGGGAAGCCATTGCAGTCTTCATGGAGCACTCCTTCAAGGATGAAAACCAGAAATTCCAGCAGCAGCTCGTGGTACTTTTAGTATTTATCCTTCCTGATTTCAGCTCTTCCGAAATAATGCATAAAGTTCACCTTTTCCATCTCCTTACCATTGTGGAAAGAATATGGTTTCTTGTGAATAATAGGGCTCTATGGGCTAGAGGCCACACTTCTTCTAGAGGATGGTCACCTTTTTTTCTATTCCTGCAAAATAAATTATCATGAGTTTGGCAGCTTAAAACAACACACATTATTAGATCATAGTTCTGTAGGTCAGAAGTCCATGTCAGGGTGTCTGGGTACTCTGTTCAGTGTGCCACAGGCTGAACACAGTGTTAAATGGGCTTAGATTTCATATAGCGGCTCTGGGTAAGCTCATTCATCTTCAAGTCAGCAATGATGCATCAAATCCTTCTGTTTCTAATTTCCTGAATTCCTCTTCTCACACCAGCTAGAGAAAAACACTTTTAAGGGGATCATATGATTAAGTCATGCCCAACAGGGCATACTCCATTTCTTAAAGTCATCTTGTCCTACATAACATAATCAAATCACAGGGTTGGTATCTATCACATTCATAGGCCCAGGAACTATGCAGGTGTGGATACCAAGGAGTGAGAAATCTTATGGGACATCTTAAATCTATTTACCACAGGCATGTTTACTGAAAGTTTGTCTTTTGGTCTGTCTCAGACTAACCTAAAAGTAACAATAATCTCTTAATTCATAATGATAAAATCCAACTGGACTATAACTTACAAATACAAACAAAAGAAAATTCTGTTCCTGTATCCTCACATATTCAAACTCTTATTGAAGGGATACACAGATAGTTCATTGTTCTCATCAGAATATACTTAATTCATTACTGGGGAGTTGATTTTCCATGCCTATATTTTTATACATAGCAACCTATGTTTTCTGGGGAAATTTTACTTCCAGCCAAAATTCAACTTTTTACTGCTCATGGTTGAGAAGTTTGGTTCCTGTTAATCATACTATAACTAAAAGAACTGTAGAGTTTATGACTTTTAACTACACAAATTTGCAGATAGTGTGCCTGACCCCTGGGGAGTTAAAGGGCTTTCCTCAGGTCACACAGATAAATGATCAGATAGTTGGGAACAAAACAAATCTTCTGACTCTTGGTCTACACCATATTCCAGTTCACTCTGAGGCCTTCAGCCTACTCCTTCCAAGAGGATCACAGTTGGACCTTCCCTTCTAACACCTTCTTTCTACTGTTTTTCCCTACCTTTCTCTGGCAGGACTCCATAGAGAAAAAGAAGGAAGACTTTGTGCTGCAGAATGAAGAGGCATCTGTCAAATATTGCCAGGCTGAGCTTAAGCAGCTTTCAGAGCACCTGATGGAAAGCATTTTGAAAGGAATTTTCTCTGCTCCTGGAGGGCACAGTCTCTACTTAGAAGAAAAGAAACAGGTTGAGCAGAACTATAAGCTAGTGCCCTGCAAAGGAGTTAAGGTGAGGAATAACGGGAGTGGGGGTTGAATAACAGAGGATAGTCAGAGGGTCTTTGTTACCCCTTCTGAAAATCTAAGAACATAGCTCTGCATGTGGAGAGGAAGCAGAACATGATGCTATCTTGGCATTTTTAGTATTTAAATCCACAATTAGTTAGATACTTCTTCTCCAAGAGGATTTAACATCAGGAATCCAGATGAAACAACTCACTTATTATATTTATTAATTAGTGGGATAGGTTTTGTGCTAAGTACAGAGGATACCTTATGAAGCAAACAACTTTGTTTTCCAAAGCATATTGTCTTACCTGAGATGAACAAATTAATATTTGACTGGCTATGGTACCATTATGGTTATCATACTGGTATGTACTAATATGATGATGATGATGATGATGATGATCAATAGAATGGTTCACACACACTGAGCATTCACTTCCTATGTCAGAGGAAGTGATTTTGTTAGATTATCGGTTTGATTCTCAGAATAATGTAAATTAGGTACCACTGTCTTCCACAGAGCCAGTTGAGAAATGTAATGCACAGAGAGGTTAATCAGGTGCCTAAGACAATGCAGCCAGCAAGTGATGGAGCTGATAGGGCTGACCTATGTACTTGACAGCCATTGGAAATTTTGAGGAAATTTTTGTCCTGTGTTCCATGAGTACTATACCAACTTACGTTCCTACCAACAGTTTCTAAGAATTCCCTTTTCTCCATATCTTTGCCAACATTTGATATCTTTTGACTTTTGGATAATGATCATTCTAAAATGTGTGAGATAAAATGTCACTGTGGTTTTGATTTGCATTTCCCTGATGATTAGTGATGCTGACTATGCTTTCACATACTTATTGTCCAGGTCTTCTTTTCACAAATGTCTATTTAGGTTCCTTGCTCATTTTTAATAGGTTTATTGGTTTATTTTGCTATTTAGTTATATGACTTTTGTATTTTAGATATTAACCCTTATCAGATTTGCAAGTGTTTTCTTCCATTCTGTGTGGAAGAAAATTATTTTACATTTTATTGTTTTCTTTGCTCTGCAGAAATTTTTAGTTTGATGTAGTCCTACTTATTTTTGCACTTGTTGCCTGTGTTTTTGATGTCAAATTCAAAAAACTGCTGCCAAGGCCAATATCAAGAAGTATTTTCCCTCTGTTTTCTTCTTGGAGTTTTATGGTATCTGGTCTTATGGTCAAATCTTTAATCTATTTTTAGTTGATTTTTCTGTATAGTGTAAAATAAGGGTCCAGTTTTATTATTTTGAATATCCAGTTTTCCCTGCACCATTTGTCAAAGAGACTATCCTTTCTTTATGTGTACTCTTGTCACATTTGTTGAAAATTATTTGAACGTATATATGTAAATTTCCTCCCTGGCTGTCTATTCTGTTCTGTTGGTTTGTTTATCTGTTTTTATGCCAATGCTATGCTACTTGATTACTGTAGCTTTGTAGTAGATCATGAAATAAGGTAATTCAATAGCTCTAACTTTGTTTTTGTCACTCAAGATGGCTGTGACTATTCAGGATCTTTTTTATTTCTATATAAATTTTAGAATTGGTTTTCTTATTTCTTTGAAAAATTCACTGGAAATTTGATAGAGGTTGCATTAAATCTGTAGATAATTTGGGGTAGTATGGATGTCTTAACAATATTATTTCTTCCAATTAATGAACATGGGATATCTATTTACTTTATATTTTCTTTAACTTCTTCAACATTTTATAGTTTTCAATATACACATCTTTCACCTCCTTGGTTAAATTTATTTATAAGTATTTTATTTCTTATGCTGTTATAAATGTAATTTTCTATTTTTCATGTAATATTTCATTACTATATAGAAATGCAACTGATTTTGTATCTTAAATTTGTATCCTGCAACTTTAGTCAACTTAGTTTTAACAGCTTTTGGTGGACTTCTGGTATATTTTCAAAAGAAATAGAATCACAATCCTGAAGAGAGATTTGTATTCCTATTCATTCCAGGATTATTCATAGTAGCAAGATATAAAAACAACTTAATATATATATACATACATGTATGTGTGTGTGTATATATATATATATGTATGTGTGTATATATATATATATATATATATATATATAATTGCACTTTAGGTTCTGGGGTACACGTGCAGAACATGCAGGATTGTTACATAGGTACATTCAAGGCAATGTGGTTTGCTGCCTCCATCCCTCCGTCATCTATATCTGGCATTTCTCCCTGTGTTATCCCTCCCCAACTTCCCTACCCCTCATTTTCCCTCCCCTATTCCTCCATAAAAACAACTTTTGTTTATTCACAGATAAATACATGTAAAAATGTGACGTACACAAACATACATATGTATGTGTATACATACATATATAATAAAATGTTATTCAGCCTTAAAAAGAAGAAAATCCTGACACTTGTGGGAACATCAATGAACCTGCAGGAATTTAGATTTAGTGAAATAAGCCAGACTCAGAAAGACAAATATGGAGTGACTCATGTTTATGTGAATGAGAAAAAATGCTGAACTCATGTTAACAGAGAGCTGAATGGTGGTTATCAAGGTCAGAGAGGTGGGGGAAAAGAGGAAATAATGATTAAAAGTAACTAATATTCACTTATAATAAACACTTTCTGGATAACTAAGTACAGCATAGTGACTATAGCTAAAAAAAAGAATTATACTTGGAATTTGCTAAGAGAGTAGATCTCAAGTGTTCTCAACAAAAGAAAACTCTATGAGATGATAGATATGTTAGTTGGCTTGGCTGCAGTAATCATTTCACATATATCAAAACATCATGCTGTACAACTTAAATATACACAATTTCCATTCGTAAATCATTCCTCAATAAAATAAGAAACAAAACTCAGAATGCACCCTGAAAAAGCTTCCAGGAAGAGTGACTGGGAATGCTAGTTGATGTATCCATAAAGGTTATCCTAGTCATGAAAATGTAGCACAGCTTCCAAACAGAAGAAAAAGATCGTGCAATATTGCAAACATCTGAGAATGTGTGTTTGCAGAACTGCCCATTTATGGTGTCAGGTTGTCTGTATCCTGGGGTGGGTGGTGAGCAGCATCCCTGGGAAAGGAAGCTGGACAGGTAGGAGGGAGGCTGCTGCACATGGTTTTTATGTCTTGAGAAAGAGCTTGGACTTTTTGTTGTGGCTGTGGAAGAAAAGAAATAACTGCGGGATCTTAAGAATTATGCAAAGTTTACAAGGTTAGTTTTGTGACTTTATTGAACAATAATTTTGTCATCATAAGTTGAGATCTTTGTTGCCTGAACAGGTCTTTGTTCTTTCTTGGCTCCTCAGGCAGACGAGGTCCTCTGGGATTTCCTGCAGTCACAGGTGGTTGTGGAGGAATCCATCCTGCAGTCAGACATAGCCCTCACTGCTAAAGAGAAGGACATAGCAGGTACAGGGGCAGGGCTCTCAGGGGGGTTGGTAGTTTACTGTAGTGCCTTCTTGCTGATCACACCGAAAGATATTCCGGATACAAGGAGCTTCAAAAGTCGTAAACATTCAGTTAAAATATTAATAAGTTCTGCATACCAAATGTATAGCATAGCAACTATAGTTAAAAAATTATTGTATACTTGGAATTTGCCTTCTCTTACAATAGATGAGCTTCTTCCTACTATGGAAAATATACTCTGCTAAATCCCAAAATCTCAAGGGGATTGGGGTTGAATCTCCAGCCAGTGTCTTCACATCACATTATTCAACATTCTCTTCCAGACATGGCTAATGGGAGAATTCAGAGATTCCCAATTCCTCACTTTTGTGATTTTCTCTAAGTCAGTTTGATCTGAGCTCAGGAGGGTAAAACTCAGGCATAACTGTCATTTTCTTCCCTCTCTAAAACCTTTGTGGAATAGTGGAGCGGTCCATGAGGGAGGCAGCTGAGAAGGAACAGGACTTGCTAAAACAAAAACAGAAGGAGCAGCAGCAAATAATGGAGGCTCAAGAGAGAAGCTTCCGAGAAAATGTAGCCCAACTGGAGAAGAAAATGGAGAGTGAAAGGGAAAACCTCCTCAGAGAGCATGAAAGGACGCTGGAACACAAGCTGAAGGTGAGTCTCAATGAAGCATGGCAGTGCTTGAGGGATAATGCCCTGCTTCTTTAGGAAAGGAAGGACCAAAATTTTAGGCACAGTGACGATCCCAGGAGGAAACACAAAAGTTGTCTGTTTCACTAAAATCTCAAATACATCTGAATTGTACTGAAGCCTGAAAGTCTACAAGACTCCAGCATCTTCTTCATGTTAGACTTTGGAGAGTACACATGACATCCCCCAGGGTATCAGGCTGCTGTTTGTGGTGATTATAGGACGGTCACACTGTCCCCCAATTAATAGGACCTGAGTCCACCAATCCTTGGGATTTGGGGCACAACCATCAAATACAGGCGTCCCCAAACTACGGCCCGCGGGCTGCATGCGGCCCCCTGAGGCCATTTATCCAGCCCCCTGCCGCACTTCAGGAAGGGGCACCTCTTTCATTGGTGGTCAGTGAGAGGAGGACAGTATGTGGCGGCCCTCCAATGGTCTGAGGGACAGTGAACTGGCCCCCTGTGTAAAAAGTTTGGGGACGCCTGATCAAATACTTGAAATAGATCAATCTGGATGAAAATTTTAGATTTGGCTTGATAAGAAATGATATTGAAAGATCAGTAATTTCTCCATTTGTTTCTGTATCTGCCTGATTCATCCTATACAACTAGAGTAAAATACATTCCTTGTCCCAGCCTGGAGCTTGACAACCAATGTTTTATACAGGGTCAGCAGTCCCTATTATTTGCTAGATGAGCATGGCCATGCTACGTCAGCAGAAATTAGAATTAATTAGAATTAAAGCTGCATTCCCTCTCAAAGGGCATTCTTTGTGCTGGAACAAAATTTCTTCCCACCTCCAGTGAGATGTTGCTTAAGGAATCTCACAAAGGTATAAACCATGTATACTCCCACTATTCAGTTCCAACCATCTGGAAATGTTAGACAAACTCATCAAAGAGTTTTCTAAGATAATAGAGAAATAGACACATATGCTTAACTGTTGAATTTATTAAACACAAAACTCTCACTCCCTGCAGAGAATTGGGGATTTTCAAATGTGGACTATTCTCCTTTTATAGGAACAAGAAGAAATGCTTAAGGAAGGATTTGAAAAGAAATCTGAGGAGTTAAATAAAGAGATTAATCAACTGAAAGAAGAGATTGAAACAGCCAAAAAAGAACCCTCAGTGTTATCAAAGATCCTTGACACAGTTGGCAATATTATGATGCTAGGTCTACCTGGGCCTACTAAGCTATTTGGATTAGGGATGAAATATCTTGGCTCACAGGTTTAAGAGCCTGAATATTCCTGGTAAGGAAATATAAAATGAGGTTTATTTTATTTAAATAGCATAACACTGTTGATCATTTTGTAAGTATATGTGTTATAGAAGTTTCATGCAAGAAAAGTTTAAAATTAAAAAGTGATTATCAAACAATATCAGGGTCTGACATCCACAAAAAACAAACTTAATTTTGATTGAACTAGCAATTTATAAAACTGAGAAACAAGTCAGAAGTGGTGGCATTATTGCTAGAAAAGGTATAATTAAAGCAAAAAGGCAACCGGTAAGATTAAGAAGCCATTAATAATTTGCAATTTATGTTATAGTTACAGAAATAATTTCAGTTGTAATTAACTCTTGCAAATTAATGAGAAGGGAGCAACACCACAATTAAAAAATTATTTTTTACAGCTACTCAGGAGGCTGAGGCAGGAGAATTGCCTGAACCCAGGAGGCGGAGGTTGCAGTGAGCCGAGATTGCGCCATTGCACTCCAGTCTGGGTAACAAGAGCAAAACTCTGTCTAAAAAAAAAAAAAAATTTTTTTTAACTTTTAGATTCAGGGATATATGTATAAGTTTGTTACACAGGTAAACTGCATGTCATAGGGGTTTGGTGTGCAGATAATTTTAAAACACAGGTATTAAGCATAGTACCCAACAGGTTTTGTTTTTTTTTCTGCTTCTCTCTCTCCTCCCAACCTTCACCCTCATGTAGATACCAGTGTCTCTTGTTCTTCTCTTAGAATCCATGCATTCTCTTTGTTTGGCTTCCATTTAGAAGTGAGAACATGTGGTATTTGGGATTCTGTTACTGTGTTAGTTCGCTTATGATAATGACTTCCATTCGCACAAAGGGCATGATCTCATTTTTTATGTCTGCATAGTATTCAATGGTGTTTGTATATACCACATTTTTATTATCCAGCCTACTGTTAATGGCCATTTAGGTTGATTCCATATCTTTGCTATTGTGAATAGTGCTGCAATGAACATACATATGCATGTGTCTTTATGGTACAATGATTTATATTTCCTTGGGAATATACATTCCTATGGGAATAATGGGATTGCTGAGTCAAATGGTAATTCTAAGTTATTTGAGGAATCACCAAGCTGCTTTCCATAGTGGCTGAACTAATTTACACTCCCACCAACAGTGTGTATGTTCCATTTTCTCCTCAATCTTACCACCATCTGTTATTTTTTTGACTTTTTAACAATAGCCATTCTGACTGGTGTGAGATGGTATCACATTGTGGTTTCTGATTTGCATTTCTGTAGTGATTAGTGCTGCTGAGCATTTTTATATGCTTTTTTAAATGCATATATGTCTTATTTTGAAATCTGTCTGTTCATGTTCTTTGCCCACTTTCTTTTTAATGGGGTTTTTTGGTATTTTGCTTGTAAATTTGTTGAAGTTTCTTATAGACTCTGGATATTAGATCTTTGTTGGATGCACAGTTAGCAAATAGTTTCTCCCATTTTATAGATTGTCTGTTACTTTGTTGATAGTTTTGTTTTATTTTATTTTTGTCTTTTGAAATAGGGTCTCACTTTACCACCCAGGCTGGAGTACAGTGGCACAAACATGGCACATTGCAGTCTCAATCTCCCGGGCTCAAGCAGTTCTCTCAAAGGAATATTTCAAAGGAATATTCTACAGTCATTAAGATGAAAAAGGTCTATTTGTACTAGTATGAGAAAGTATCCAAGATATATCATTAGTTAAAAAAAATGCAGAAAGTATGCTATCACTTACTTTAGGAACTAATGAATATATGTGTACCTTCTTAGTTCCCTCTGAAAAAATAAAATATATACTAGTATCCTGGTCATACCAGGAATGAACCTGAATAGTTAAGGTGAGAAATGAGAGGATAACTCTACATTATATATTTCTTTAACTTTATATTTAATATAATTTCATATTTTTATATATATTTACATTTTATTAGAATTCTTCAGAACTGTCAACAGTTGGACAACATACAGGAATAAAACATGTGGAACACCAACATCCTTTAAACTTACACCACTTACATATTTACACATAAAGTTACTGTATATATAAAAAATATTTTCAAAGACTCATGGGCTTGGGCATATTCAAAAGACATTATTGCTACATTTCAATATTTACAAAAAAGCCACAAAATAATTTCAAACATTAAGCCACTGCAAAGAAACATCTGATGTAAAAAAAAATTATAAAAATATAAACTTTCAAAAATATCCAAGATGAATTTATGTAAATTCATCATGTATTCAAACATGGATTAATACAATTATAAAAATTGAAATAATAATACATGGATGGGAGAGGTCCCACAACAGGATGAAAGTAATTAATATTACTAGAAATAGCATAAATCTGCTCAACAGGAAACATCTTCTCATTGGAACAGAGAACTAGAAGCAAGACAAAGCAAGAAAAATATGAACTAGAACAAGACAAAGCAAGAAAAATATGAAACAACAACAGCAGAGATTTACTGAAAACAAAATACACTCCACGGCATGTGAGTGGGCCGAAGCATAGGGGCTCAAGGTTCTGTTACAGAATTTGAGGGGGTCAAATGCCCTGTAGAGGTTTCCATTGTTTACTTCGTGTAAGCCTTATATAATATAAAGATAATATTTCCTGTCATAGCTGAAATGTTAATTAGCCTCATGTTCCATTCCTCCAGATCATGTTTTCCTGCCTCATTTTCTCCCTGAGAGAAGTAATCCCCATAAATCTTTCTGGGAGGCGGAGGGACTGAGGATCTTTCTTCTATAACTGCTTCATGCTGGCTTGGGGTGTAGTCCCTACCTATTGGGGATCATGGAACTCTTGCCTTTCTCTGTCTAGTGGAGACAGGGTAGATGAACGGTGACTTTTACATTTCATTTAACCAGTTTGCACAGACAGAAAGAGGCTAGAGTCTGACTGGTAAGAAATTCTTGTCCTTTTGCCAGCATGTCAGGTTTCTGGGTTCTCTCTCCCTGAGCAGCCCTAGCAACCCTGTTCAACTGTATGCAGACAGACACATTGCTGTGAATTAAGAATATTCACAAATAGTTTACAAATTTTGGGGAAATTAGGCAGAGAGAGATAATATGACTCAAATTCTATTTATGAGAATATACCCAACACACTTCAAATATCAGGAAGCCTAAAATCCAAGAAGTTAGTTTGAGGTTAGAAGGCTGGTATGTTCCATCAATTCCTGTGGGCCCAACAGAGGTGGCCTAGGAATTCCAGATAAATGGAACAAATAATGACTTGCTAGAAATTCATAGGAAACACAATAACTATTCACAGAAACAAATAAGAAATTTAACTATACCTTCAAAAAATTACCAAACTGCCAATACATTTGTTTACAATACTTCTTACTTTAATTTAATCAAGGCTAAGAGCTTTAACTATGAAAATGTAAATTAGCCAAATGTCTACAATTCTCTATCAGGTTTTAAAGAATATTTTATTATTTAAACTTTTCCACATCTTTTTGCCCTACTTAGTGGTTCCTCACTACATTGTTTCATACATAACCTTTTTAAATCCATAATTTGAACTAACGTTTGGATAACTTCTGAATTAGACAAAATTATTTTTTTTTCTCACTAATAGCATAACCCTTTCTGGCACATTTTGTTTACAGAATTATGAGTTAACTAGAATTCTTTTCCTTAGTAACCTAAAACTTCAGTGAAATTCTAAAAAGCAAGAAATGCTGAACTATCAGATATGGGCATTTATAGGTAAGAACAATTCCACAATTTTAGAAACAGATTTCCCCATATCACAACCTTAATTGGAAATTACCCATATACTAAATGATCATCAAAAATAACTTTTAAGATTTTAATTTGCACAAAAAGTTTACCTAAAACATTTGTCCTATTCATTGTACTCAATTCTTTCACTTTTAACAAGTGAGACATGAGACATCAATCAACATATGTAAAATGAACATTGGTTCAGTCCAGAAAAGTGGGACAACTGAAAGTGGGGAGGAAGCTTAGGGGCTCCCAGGTCACAGGTAGGTAGAAGACAAAGAGTTTATTCTTTAGAGTTTCTGATTAGCCTTTCCAAAGAAAGCAATCAGATGTGCATTTATCTTAGTGAGCAGAGGGATGACTTTAAATAGAATGGGTGGAACGTTTGTCCCAGGCATTCACAGCATAAATTTTCCCTTCAGCTTGGTGATTTTGGGGGCCCATGATATTTTTCTTTCATAAATTACTCTCATTCATCAAAAGAAAGCATACAAACCAAGATCATCTTGCATTAGCTGTGTTTATAGTTTTATAACCTTCTATGCCAGACACTGACATCTCAAAATATCAAGCAAAGACAAACATAAAATCCAGAGAAAATGTATGCTGACAATTCTGAAGACATTTCTATTTTTATTCTACTAATAATTTTAAAGCCAGCTTGTTTAGTAAAGTTATACTTAAATCACATGAACTTGAAAATTGCTTAGACTTAATTTATTTGTGCTTTTTTACTCATAAGCCAATTTGTTAGACACAACATACAATAGTAAGTATACATACAAATAAACATCTAGACATGTATACACACACATAAATGAAGATCCAATAGTTGGGAACCTTAGCAATGAGATAGCAATACAAACTTGCTGGTTTTACTTTGTTTTCCCCAATAGATAATCCAACAAAGGCTGTTGTTAAATACACTGAGTTCTAAATTTCTCTTCAAAAATCAGTGTGTCCACATTTTCAGTTTCCCTGTTCTTTGTTCTTCATTTTAAAGTTTAACTTGCTTGTCTCCTTGCCCCTAGTTTCAATAAACAAACTTCCTGCCAGCTCTAATCAGTAGTTCACATCCGTTCCCCTGGTTACCTGCACCTATTCCTCTTGCCAAAACTGCACTTTCCCCTCACACATCCCCCTCCTAACCCACACATTCAGAGTTATCACTCATCCTAGTCACCTGCTCCATCCTGAGTCACCCCTGGTCATCTGACCTGACCTGAGTCACCTTTAGTCACCTGTTCCACAACCGTCTTTCCTGCTGAAACTGCTTACCCCAGGGGTACTCTAGCTCGTACCCTGCTCTCTTTTAAATAGACAATCGGAATTAGCTTATACTGTCTAGTCCAACCCTAGCCAATAGGGGAACAACATAGCAGTGCAGCTACCTGCATCAGAGATAAGAAACCTTTCCCCTCCTTTGTTCAGGTGTGCTCTCATCATTGCTTCATCCGTGAGATGCATCCTTCTATAGAAGTAAATTGTCTTGCTGAGAAAATTTATATTTGAGTGCTATTTCTTTTGAGCACCAACAGTTTATTTCTAACAGCTGTGAACCAAAATTTTGGGTACAGCAGTTTCCATGGCAGTTTGATTTTTAAAGGTCAAAGCTCCCTGGACTCCAAAGATCACTGGGGCCAAACAG